GTTCCGGTTCCTTCACATGTAGGAACTAGAACCGAAACTGCATAGTTTCAGTTCCAAAAAAATGGAACCAGAACTTACCCGCACAGTGTCAATTCTGGTAGGTTCCGGTTCCGATTCTTCCCACAAGTTCTGGTTCTACCTGCTATCCATGCTCACCCGCATTTTCCAAAGTTTTTTATATAGTACTTTATTTTTCTAGATTTTTCAGATAATGTTAAATCATAAACTTTTCTTAAAATTTATTTTTTTTCCATATTTATGTTCACTGTTTATGATTTTTTTAATTTGGGTTTCATGTTATTTGAAGGGTGCCATTGACATTTGACTTGTTAAGTGAGATATATATCCATTTGCTATCAATATGAGGAGAGGTGAGTGAAGATTTCTTAAAATCTTGGGGGATATTAGAGATATTTTTCATAAATATGAGGCCTAATAAGAATATTTCTGAGAACCTTTGGGAGGGCAAAGATCATTAATAGAAAGTTAACTAGCAATCAACCCAAGGCTAAGCCTTATAAGAAAATAATGGAGACTGCATGTAGATGCAAAAAATCTACTGTTACAGAAATAAGGTTTGATCCCGTGAAGTTGAGATCACTAGCAATCCGCTAGACTTGTATACATAAAAAGACAAGCATGAAGCTTATGGAAAACACCAAGGTGGTGTTTGCCGTAGGCACTCCGACACTCAAGTCAACAAGGCTAAAAGAGACGATTTAATGAGAATTAAGGAAAGAAATATTACCAGAGGCCAAAGGGTGTAGAATTATAGGGAGCAAGGAGGTGATTTTGAGTATTGAATATTGGAGATTGAATGAATAATGAGAGGGTAGGTCTCTGTTTTTACAGTGAACCTAAAGGGTTGGAATCCTAGTAGGACACTGAGTCCTATTTTGGGAGATAATCTCTATCAGAAAAGAAATAGGATTTCTTATCTTTATCATATTAAGTTTACTACTTTGAGTAAAATTCAGGATCTTAATAGAAGAGGAAATAGAATGAGATTCTGATTTCCTATTTGTGGACTGTTATAGGTTAATAGGTCAAAACCCGGTTTAACTTAACTTATGGGATAGCCCAACTCGTAGAGTGGACAGTTCACAAGATGAATTTAAGCATAGACCCAATAAAAATTGGACTAAAACCTTGAGCCGTGATATGTTTATTTTGTTATTGGGCCTCGTTATGTGCATACGATATTTTGCCCATACAATGCACATGAAGCATTAATGACCTAGTGCATGATATCAATGTCAGTTAGTGCTCCTAATTTCTAAAAAAGAACCGAAGAGACATCGTGTCGATGAGAAAAACAAAGTTGTATAAAATTTTTTTAAACAATGTAAATATTTGTAGACCCATGTAAATTATGTAATTTTTGGCTTATTATCATCTACCTCCCTTGAGGTTTACTGAAAATCTAATACCTGCCCACAGGTTTGAAAATTGATCAAAAACCTCCCTTCAATCTGAATGTCGTTTTCTCATGGTAAGATTAAGAAGACTTTAAAATAAAGTCTAATCTTTTTGTATGTTAAAATAAAGGTGTTAAAAGAGTTTCAAAATTTGTTTCACTGAAAATTTTTAAGATACATGATTTTTGGCAAATTGCTGAAGCCTGCCATCCAAAGCTGAAATTTTTGTTTTTCCTTTGGACAATATTGAACGTTTTGTGAAAAATGTATTTTTTGAGAACTCTTTCTGTAAAATTAGTAAATTTGATTCATTGGGCAGATGCAGATTAGATTAATATACATGGTTAAGAATGTAAGAGGGGAGCTTCAGTAAGCTTATCAATTCAGCATGGTTTAATTCACACTTCAGATTAGGGTGGACAAATGTTGTACAATTCGAGTTCTTGGCCGAACCAAATCATACTGTATCAAAAAAAATTGTAAAAATAATCGTACCGTACCATACTGTGTAAGTATTATAACCGAACAGTATTGAACCTAAAAAATTGGTAGGGTACGGTTTGGTTTATTGGTTTTTTAGTGGGGGCTTTCCGATTCATTTAGTTTATATATATATATATTCTAGGGTTTCATGATATTTTTCCAGGGGAGTTTGTAATTTTAGGGCGCATTTTGAGAAAAAAAAAGACAAATGGGCTAGTTCGTAAATTTCCAGGGGAGTTTGTAATTTTAGGGGGCCTTTTGAAAAAAAAAAGAGAAGTGGGCTAGGTTCGATTTGAATAAACCAAGAATCGAAAACTGTATAATTCTTAGAAAAAAAGACCCCTCTAAGTGGCTATGTCCTGATTTAAATAACCATACAGTTTGTAATTTTTTAGGATATTTGATACAATAAAATAAAGATGGTGTTAATTGGTAAAACACAAAATACAAGGGTATAATTAAGTTTTGCAAGTTCAGTGCCCCCACTTATCTCTTAGCGGCTATGTCCTGATTTAAATAATACTCCCTCGTCCGTCATAAATCAAGACAATTTATTCTCATCTTATCAGGGTTGTTTGGTTTGATGGGCCATTATCCATCAGCATCCGGGTGAGCTCTGGACCCGGGTAAACCCGACACAAAATACAAGGGTATAATTAAGTTTTTGTCTTTTTTAACGCAGTGGAAGTCCAAAGTCTCTTACGATGATGGTTTCTCTTGTTGAGGTGGCATATTTTTACTAAGGTATGAATTAAATAATTATGCCAATAACGATAATATTAATTTATTTACTTCCTCCGTTTCGAAATAAAACTCAATTTAAGTCAATACACGTTTTTTAATAAATTAATTTTTTAATGTAAATTTTTTTTCTCTTTGCTCCTTCCTCTTAAAGTGTGTGAAAAATGACAATGATAATTGATGGAAAATAAATGACTTTTAAAAAGAAAGAGAGAGAGAGAGAGAGGAGATGAGGGGTGAGGGAAAGAGAGAGAGGAGATAAGGGCATATTTCGAGAAAGAGAGAGAGGCTTGCATTTGACCAAACTGACATTTATTTTGGAAAAAATTTATAAGGTTAAAACGATCTTTATTTCGAAATAAAGAGAGTATTTTGGAACCAGGGTTAATATAATTTTTTGCGTAAATTATTTTTGTTTTAAAAGATGATTCAGTAAAAGAATCTTTAGAATATTTTCCTTATTAAATACTATTTTAAGAAAACCATAATATAAAACTTTTATAAAATAAAGTTTAATCTTTTTTTTTTTTTTTTTTTTCAAATTCATCTTTAAAAACGCCACCATAATAACTCTATGGTGGCTAATATAATTATGAAATTTATGAATTCAAGACAATTTGAGTTTTACTTATAAAAAAAATAATAAATAAAGAAATGTCGACATGAAATTTTCTAGCTTAGCTTTGGTATAAAGTTTAATGGTTATTTTTAAATGAATCTTGTATTTGAGTTTGACATTTAACCAGGGCGGCTTAAGGGATAGGCAGGTGAGACACCTGCCTAGTGATACAGGCTGAGAGTTTCACACCCAAAAGGTAACCTATTAGGTGGAGGAACTCCACCCATTTATAAGCTCAAGACCTCCCCAATACGCTTCCAATGTGGGATTTGTTACATTCTCCCCCACCTAATCCTGTGACGCCCTAGTTACAGGTGGGGCCCCCTGCCTACCCGTCCACCTCACTCTCATGTGAACCCACAATCACACGTGGACGTCACTGCGTGGGCGCTTGGCAGGACATCGAAAGACGAATTGAGTCTGCTCTGATACCACTTGATACGGGCTGGGAGTTTCACACCCAAAAGGTTAACCTATTAGGTGGAGGGACTCCACCCATTTACAAGCCCAAGACCTCCCCAATACGCTTCCAATGTGGGATTTGTTACACTAGGGCCCCAAAAAAAATGGGGGCCCAAATTTTTTATAAATTTTTTTTTTTTTTTTTTGAATATCTTACAAAAATGAAAGTGGTTTATAATTTCTTATCCAATCCAAGGGACCCCCTAAAAAAAGCCAAAAACCCAAATTTATTATAAACTTTTTACATATATTCCCACCCAAAGTTTGATAAAATAGCAAGTTTGTACCTCTAGTTTCATATATTTTAGTTTATACCCCTAAATTAATATATTGAATCTCTTTTAACAATGAAAGGCTAAAATAGTAATTTACATATCTCAAATGACTCACCCCTAATTTAATCCCAAAATTTGACATTCATATAAATCATCTCTAGCCCTCTTCTACCGTCAGTGGTTTGGAGTTGATTTCGGTTGATTTCGGTTTTAGTCGATTTTCTCACCAAAATTGACCGAAATCATCATTTTATCATTTTCCAACCTTGATAGTCCTCAATTTGGCCAATTTTTGATGAATCTCGCAACCCAACTCTACCACACGACGACCATCTTCAACCCTCTTACCAAAACCCTTATTATACCTCATCTATTTACTCTACCAATCGTCAACCATCGATACCTTTTGGGCCGTAACTTCTCAAGCCTTTTCTTATCAATCTTGGCATTGGAAATCACTTATTTCACCACCAATTACTTCTCCAACATCTATACTCCAAAACTCTCCACCAACCTAACCTTGTTAGCCTGCCGATTGTTGTCCACCTCTCCTAGTGATTTTTTTATCTCAAAAGGCAAAAAAACAAAAAAAAAATGAAATAATTATTTAATATATGCTTATATTATTAGAGGGTCCCAAAATAATTCCTGCCTACGGTCACAAATGTTCTAGAGACGACCCTGCATTTAACATGTCAAGAAAGTATTCATATTTTCCTATTTTCATTTATCACTATTATTTAAGGATGTCACAACAATCTTCTCCATGACTTAAAGTTTCACTACTCCAAAATTCTATGAATTTTAAAGTTCAATCTCAAAACTGTTTTTTAAAATATGTTGTCAGACATTTCCAATTTTAACCTAAAAACTATTTAATTTCTTAAAAAAAAAAAAAAAAAAATTTTATGTGCTGAACCTGCCTTTAAGTTAAAAAAAGAAAAGAAAGCAGCATTAAGCTAATAAAACAAACTACAAATTGTTCAGTATATTTATAAAATAGGATGACATTTTTATTCTGAAAATAATGTACCACGCTACTCATCTATTTAACAATGCGCTTCAACAAATTTTTTGTTTCTAAGAATTAAGAAAGTAATGAAAACAGTTTGAAGATATTGGCATATCAATCCACCAACACTTATTTAACTCGACAGAGTCCTTCAAACAAAAGAGTATACCAAATCACACAACACCTTCAGTACGGTGATACTGATACAGATTGAAATGCTTAGTTGTATTAACTTTAATTGAAACATGCGTACGCAAACTTCTAAGACTCCAACACCATACTTGATGAGATCCAGTTGGCTGACAAAAAAGGGAAACCTTGGCATTACCAGTAAATCCGTATGGACATAAAGGTGTATAAAATTGAACAGATAACTATTGGCATGGAAGTAATAAAGAAAGAAGTTACCCGTAAAGAATTTGTGATTATATGCTCTTCACTAAGAGGCTTCAACCACAGCACCTCCCCTGTCTGCAGGTTCATAGTATGATGCATTTTCTGAAGTGTCGAGGCAAGGACTGGTTTTAAACTGATCAATAGGCTGGGGTTCAAGCATGGGACCAGGCTCTTTGGATCCTTGGGGAGAAAATTTTTGTGTAACATTAGAAACCTCTGGCTTACTTCCCATTGGCAAGTTCATTAAATTCATTGTTCCATGATCAATGGAGAATTTAGGTGATTTAGGAGTCTCATAATGTTTTCCTAATTGCTCCAATGGCCTATGAAAGAGCAAAATGGCCACAGCCCGGTCGATGGGATTGGTTTCTGTTTCTGCATCAGGCATTCTAAGATACCTGCATTACCATCACATTCAAGAATCCAAATTTAGAAACAGTTGAGCTTCGCGTATGAAATGGTAATGACTAGATGGTGTCTATATATACTAAAGACCAACAAAATTTATGAAAACAAAACCCGACCATGAAATAATCATTAAACTGCAAGTGATTTTGCTTAAACAAACACAATTTCTGAAGCCTAATTGATCGGTATGAAACCACAGAGATTTGCAGATAAGCCTGAGCAGAGAAGCAGATTTGGAGAAGCTAATAAATGTAATTATTTATTGCATTCATTTTATATTTACTTCTAACTATTTAAGTTCATTCTATGTTTTCTTCTAAAGGAGAAAAGGAGAGAATAGAGCAAATATAAATCTTAAAATGAAGAGGCATGGAATAAAATTGCACTACAAACTATCTAATAATTAGACTTAACAAAAGAGGGGAAAAATAAATTATCAAAAATAAGACCTCCCAAGAGATTGTGATCAAATCTCACATTGGAAATACGATTCTACATTTTAAATACATAACATTTCTATTTCTAAAAATTAGCTTAAGTTTTGTGAAATTATAGTGATTGTCTCCCTCTTTTCCCTAAATATCATTCAAACTTTAAAATCTATACTCTTAAATATGTTTCTTCTGCTCAAGTCTTCATTTATCTGTAACAGTTTCAAAGATACAACATACATGTAACTTTTGTCCACTTGTGCATACTAACAAGTTCAACTGATTGAATCTTTCGGGAGTGCAGGAGAGGTATTGGAATTAAATCTAACTCACACCAAGAGATGCAGGGGTGTGTGTGTGTGTATACATTGCTAGAGTGGACAATAGGTCCACTTCTATATCTGGTTTTCTGTTTCAGATCGAAAACAAAAAGATACCTAGAATTTTGAGCATTTGAAGTTGAAAATGAAACCGCATATACTGTACTAACCTGATAGAGCTATTAGTTTCTGCTTTTGCAACAACTTCAGGTTCTTCCATGCTACTTTTGTTGGTACTACTTGTATCACTAGCATAATGCCTCTGCATCGCACTTTGTGCCAGCCGAAACAAGCTATCCCGTATACAAAGTCTTATTCTGACATCCAACTATGATGAAACAAGGATTTCACATTTACTCAAGTTCAAGCAACTTTATAAAAACAGGAAATTAGCAGGAAAATAAGACTAACCTTGGAAATAACATCCTGAAGGCGGTAAAGCACTGTTTCCCCCACCGAATAATTATCTAATGCCAAATTGATTGTATTGGAGTCATCTTGCTCTATAGGTGAATTTGGGTCAAAAGAAGAAAGAGCACTTAGATCTTCAACTTCAAAGTCTGCTCCCTCAACATGTTGGAATTGGTTTTCTTGGAACTTTTGAGAGATGGAATGATCTATAGAGGAAACTTGATGACTGAACTGTTGCTGTTGTTTCTGAATGGCAAGCATAGCCTGCATTTGTTGCCGCCTCCTTAACTTTTCAATTTTTTCTTGTGGTGTCATAGCCAGAGTATTTGCTGGAGCAGTTGCTGACTTATTAACTAATTGTGCCTTACCTGGAAAAACTTCATTACAAGAAAGAAAGGGTTGGTGTGTAAGTTTCCCATATTGAATGTGTGGCAGCACAGGCATGGCAGGATATGGCTTTGTAATGTTCCCATACGTAGAAGTCACTAATGAATTGGGGATTTGATGGTACTGCAGAGTCTCAAATTTTTGAAGCTGCCTTGGCTGACTAAGGACCAGTGATGGGGAAGACTGTAGCATTGTCTGAGCCAATTGGTTCTCATACTTACCCATTGGGTTACCAGTGGGAGACCAGGTACCATAGAAATCTTGCAATAGCTCTCTTTTTTCTTCTGACTTTTCCCGACCTTTCAACAGAATTTTTTGCCTGTATCCCTGTAAAGATTCAGGAAAATAAAATGATATAAAGTTGCTAGTTTGGTGGAAGAAAGAATGCAAAAACCTTAGTTCGATACATTATCTAATTACATTGTTTCCTATATACTCAAGCAAACAATTATGTGCTTCAGAAATACAGCTAGCCAGGCCTAAAAGAATATGTGATCTGAAGCAAATACAAGCAAGTCATCTGATGTTCAGATTTCAAGGAAGAAAAAACTGAATGTTCATGCAATTCCAGAGGTAACTCTTTTACAAGTTTCAGTGAATAAGCAAATGTCAACATGAAATCAAACAGTATTTTTCTGGTCTGAACCCAAAGTAATCTAACATATTAATAATCTTAATAAGAGACTAGAGTAATAATTTCCAAAGTAGAGTTCTTTCAAAGTAGAAAATTAGTTTTACTTGTCAAAGCTCCTCAAGCAATATTGAAAATGCACTATTCTTGCTGAACAAAACTTATGTAAGATGCAAGAGCATACAAGTTATAACTTCCCAACCTACTTATATGCTATCCGCTGAACTTTTCAGCAGAAACTAGGATAACATTGTTGCTTCATATAAAGTTTCATTTATCAATGTGCTAACGACTCACCACAATAAATAAGACAAAAATAGAGGAAAAAAATGTCATATGCATTACTAAATGGCATGAAGTTATTTGCAAGTGCATTCGAGTTATGTACTAAAATAGCATGTAGCCCCTATATTTCTCTGTATCAGAATGCCTATATGTTTTTATTGCCTCACTCTCACAAGCAAGTAACTTTTGCCTATTAAAGAAAGCAAGCAAATATATTTATATTACATATATTGAGCTAGAACAAGCAGCTAAGATTATTTCAATCTAAAATGGCACGTTGGTTGCAACAACAAGAGATCTAATAAAATAGACCATTAATTAATACACCAATAATCCATTATACTTGTACCAATAGCTAGATGCCAGTTCTGAAACTTCGGTGCCTTGAATGGTAAGCTAATGAAGAACTCTTGCGCAAGGGCTAGACTAAGATCTATACTGTGTTTATCACATCTCTATTTTCCTCTGGTAAGATTTACCTCAACATAATATATATTTCATATTACATGTTGGAATAGAAACCATACATGCAAGGACCGAATTACCTGGTCCTGCAGGGCTGAGGATTTCCCAGTCAAAGACTGGCTAGGGACCGGGCTGCAAACAAAATATTATTATATGATAAATTGTTACCAAAGTAAAATATTTGAAGTATTTTACTTTAGTAAATTCAAAATTAATTTCGATTATATTTTTCTTAAATAATAATAGTGTTTGTAAAACTATATCTATCTTGTTACTATGTTTCTCCTTATCTCCTTAGACCATCAAGTATTCTCTTCCCCAATTTCTTTACTCTCTCTCCTCTGTCCTCTCTCTTGTCTGTTTTATCCTTTCCTCACCAGGCTCCTACTTGAGACTCAAAATTATTCTATAATTTTAGTAGTTAAAAATAATCAAAGCATGTAACTGCTGAAGTAGCTCTAGATGTCCCCTTTCTACAGGGGATCCTTCAAGGTCTCTAAACGCAAAAGCTCTTGTAGGGTTGTAAAATTGATTTTATTAGAAGTCTAGGTCTTTTTTTCCAGAGTTTGGCAGGTGAAAATTAAAACATCTCTGTCTATAACAACATCGCAAATTGCCACGGCTAAGTGTTTCTTGGAACAAAGGTAAATGTCTCTCACCAAGCTATACATTTTATTTGAAACTAAATGTCTCTCACACCAATGCAAGGCAAACACTTGTCGAAGATAAGTCTATTATAAGCAAATAACATTTTATTTGATACGAATTTATCTAATGTAGAATATTGAAAAGTAACAATAAGTAACTTATTGTGAGGCCAAGAGCCCAAGCATAGCCTGGTTGACCGCTGCAATTGCCGGGTGTGGTTGTGAGGTTGTGAAGGCCATGGCGTCATGACCACCATCCCTGGTTTGACTTTGATGTTTTTATGGTTTTGCCTTTGATATGGATTGGATGGTTTTGATTTGAATTTATATTGAGGAACAATATGTATTAATTTGAGTTGTGTCATGATAATAATTTGTGTTTGTTTAGAAGAATATCATAATGATTTTAATTATCTAAGATGTAGAATATTAGTACCGTTGGAATTAATGTTAAGTGAGAAGGAAAAAGAAAATTTTCTTGACTCCTGAAAACAAGCACTATGCGGTATAACTATTTATATGATCAATGTTTTTCAAACTTCAAATGAACAAGACATGATATATGCAATAAATATTCATTTTTCTTCATTCATCTATTTAATTTTGTTGGTTATAATATTAATATCTAATATTATTATTTTTATTGTCTTGGTCAACTATTAGATGTTAGTTGAGATATTATTGTAAATATTTATATTAATAAGGTGAATTACAAATAGATAAAATTTGAAAAGAATGAAAATAAGTGAGGGGAACTAGAAAACCTATAATATAACAAAAAAAAAAAAAAAAAAAAATAGAGAGAAGAAACAAAAAAGTCAATGAAAAATCATCATCTTCAACAACCTCCATAATTACAAAATAAATTTGTTTTAGGTATTCTTTCCAAATTTATCAATAATAACAATATAGAGGTTTTCAAACATTTTTTTTTATCCCGAAGTCTTATTATTCTTCTTCTTTTAAATTTATGCATTTAATTTTTATAACCAATTCAATAGGTTTGAAAAACATCGATCATATAAATATAAAGGATTTGGAACTCAAAAAAATAAAAATCACAAACAATAAATAAAGCAGTTGGGATAATGGTTTGTATAAGATGTAAAATTAAACTTATTGGAGAGTTTGAATTTTAGACTAAGAGAAGAGGTGTATCTAGCTTGATGAGATTTATACTAATGAAATATTTGACCTCTAAAAAAGGTAACTTTATGGTAAAATGGATCCATGACGATGTTTTTTGATGAAAAAAAAAAACCTTAAAAGTGGGTGCTCTGTAGACAGTTTTGAGCTTGTTCCTTGGACTAATTTCCATAAGCATTTAGTAATGGCCAAACTTTGATTCTTGAAGAAGGTTGCTTGATAAATTTTCATTTTATTTTTTAATTAGTGGGATTGGAAAATCATTTACCAATCAAATAATAATACATGGCATTATCAAATCCAAATAAATAAATAAATGAAATCGTGGGAGTTATGGAAAAGAAATAGGCGAGAAGTTTTTTCAGATTGAAATTCCCAAAAGTAAGACATAAATAAGAATGAAGGAGATACAGAAAATAAGAGCAGGATAAACTAGGGAAAACAGCAAGAAAGGGAGAAAATCTAGTAGAGATAGAAGAGTAAAAACACAAAATACAATCCAGAGGGGAAAATCTGAATCTTATTCCATAATCAAATAACATAAACTGAGCATGAAAACAATAATGAAAAAAACTTTCATTTATAGACTCATGAAACCAAATCCTAATCAACATAGAATTCAAATAATTCTAATCCTGATAAAGCAATGAAATATGAAATATATACTAATCTTAATTAAACAAAGAATCAATAAAATAAAAGGCTAAATCAACTTATAAATGATATAAATATCTAAAAATACTGAATCAAAAGATATACGCATGCACAACTCTAAGAAGCTAGAGTGTTGGGATGTAAGCCACCTGAATTGTTTTAGATTACAAGGTCAGAGAGAATCATGGTGATAAGATTTTAGACTAACAAAGATATCAATTATTAGTAATAAAATAAATATATTTGTTTCTCATACTAGAACAGACATAGTTTATACAGTTATGTAGTAAGTAAATTCATATAGCACAATAGGAAGAATATATGGAGATACTCCATACAATTTTTACACCTAGAAAAGGTTTCTTCTATAGAAATGGGAAACTTCAATTAAAAGCCTATATTAATTCTGACTAGGCTGGACGTGTGGTAGACTAAATTTCTAAAAGAAGCTACTGCACATTTATGGAAGGAACCTAGTAACTGGGTGAAGTAAGAAATAAAATGTGAAGATAAGATCCACTGTTGAAGCCAAATTTACAGCTGTGGCTCAAGGATTATGCAAACTTATATGGTTCAAGAATATTCTTTCAAATCTGGAGCTAGATTATGAAGTTCCCATGAAATTATATCAATGACAACATATATACCATCAACAAAGGCCACGATCTATTTTAACAAATTTCATTTACTCGCTTTATTTCCTTCACCATAGTATAAACTTGATTAATTTCTAAAACTTAATGGAGGGGGAAAAGAATAAAACAGATTGATAAGCAAGAAATAAATAGATAGAGAAAGAGAATCAGATAGATAGTAAAAGAATCAGATAGGTTTAAGAGGAGAAATCAAGAAAGAGAGATAGCAAAGAACTAGAATAGATAAAAGAACCAACAGAAGAATCAAGGTAAGGGGAGAAACATAATTTTATTACGTAATCAACCAACCCAAAAACAGTAATGAAATAAGCCTTCATGAAACCAAATACAAAACAACTTAAAATTCTAATAATCCAAACGACATTCTAATCCTAATTAAACAATAAAACATTAATAAAAGACTCCTAAATAAAATAGAACTCTAGAAATAATAATCCTAAAAGTAATCCAATTTCTCCTACATCAAAACTTGGAAAAACTTTCACTAAAATAACACTAGATCTATACATTACCACTAGTGTTATTTAATCACCTAAAATATAATTGTGTCCCTCCCTTTTGAGGGGTAATCCATTCACATCGACGGATACTTAATCCACCATAGTATTTCACTTTTCCCTCTCATTAATATATCTTTTTTTTTTCCATTTCCTATCAAAAAAAGAAAAGAGTCAATACCTATTTTACCAACTTTCGCCAATAGTTTTTTGTGAAGGGGATTGCTCTACCCACTTGCTATATTTACAGCTATCAAACTTACCTATTGTATTATCCACATATCATGGCAAAATAATAGAAGTTTTTCTAGACATTCAAGTTAATAAGGACGTTTTATCCAGCTTATAGTTTCTGCAGTTGGTATCATGTGATTGTGCTAAAATGGAAGGTTCTGCCGAGATGAAACCTGGTTTATTCATTCTTAGTTGGCTTTCTAGTTTTAGGATCCACAAACAACAATGAGTCCAATGCTAGAGGATTTTATACTATTGTTTGGATCTGTACTTGATAGCTTAAGCCATTGGTTCAAGTGATTAGTTCATATGATATCAGAGTAAAAGCTCATGAGTTCAAAACCTCCAAATGTCATGCACCAACATTTGTATTTGGTATGGAGCTTGTTTTTGTCAGAATTGAAGCTTGGCTCACACTACATGTGAAGGAGTCTATTCAAGGGTTTATACTATTGCTTGGTTCCTCACATGAAAACTTAAGTTTTTTTCATCAGGTAATGACTTAACATCTACAATATTAAACACAAGACACTACATTACAATCCTGGCCTAATTTAGTAACAGAGAGAGAGATACCTTGCTTGCAAAGTCATCTAGAGTCCAAACATTTTCAGAAACTACGCGAGAGTTCAATGCATTGGCATTATTCCCAATATCCAAATCACTCTGCAAAAGCCAAATAAAATTTGAATTTATATTGATTCACTCATTCAAGATATAATACAAAGAAGTTCAGAACAGTTCTCCTTGCTAATTGACTTTAGTTACCTGATCCTTCACTTTGGGCTTACTTTTACTTCTAGGATATTTTACATGATCCAGGATTGCATGGGCACTCTGCAGACTTTGAATAGGATTACTCAATTTTCCACGGCTAAGGGTCAATGACTGATCCTCTTCTGGCTCAAATTCTGATTTAACTTCCACCAGGTCAGATGAATTCTTCAGTGCTTCTAACTCCAAACTTGGAGAGTCTGCCACTAGGGGAAAAGATTTTGCTGGGCTGTCAGTTACATCTTTTGTAGAAGACCATAGCTCATCAGCACTACCCAGATTTACACGGCTAAATATTGGGTCATCATTGCTGCAAAATCATCACTTGTGAGGATATTGAGTTAGATGGATATCATTACAGTATTAAAGCATAAATGGGGAACAAAAAAAAAAAAAAAAAAAAAAGATTGAGCACAAATATAACGAGGCGACATCTTAATGATCTAGACGTCTACTTTTATTGTAGACTCAAAGCCTTAGTATTTATTACTTCTTTTAGAATCTTTTTCTAGAATTTTGTGATTTGTTTCCTTATTCTCAGTTTTTTTATGATTTGTTCTTTTGCTAGAAATTTCCTTGCTAGATTGAATAAGAGAAAAACTTTCTTATTCAGATTGATCCTGTATATTAGATGTAAACTTATGCCCAATATTGTTGATTTGATTTACTAGTTAACTGTCAACCTAAGAGAGTCACCCACATTCCTTCAGAGCTCCTTGGATAGATAAAACCTCTCTATCAATCACCAAGGGGTGTTTAGTTCCTCTCAGACTAGTATTCTACTCTTAAGATATAACCATAATGTTCTCATGGATGTTGTCTATTTTGTTTTTAGCTAAACCTCGGCATTAGAATCATGATTTTAAGAATTCTGAAAGAGATATTATTTATCAAGTGTTTGCCCAAGGTGGTAAGACCATTGCCTTGAGGTTTGCCACGCCTTCAAATGATTCTACAGACCCTACCAATTCCTGTAAGGAAAAGCCAAAATCTAAGCCCACACATTCAGTGTCAGATAAAGACAACCTTTATATTTGCCTCCTAAGCGATTTGCACGTGCAACTCATGCAATAGATGTTATGTTTTGCTTAGATGTTCAAGAATAATCCATAGGATTCCTTAGTGCCTAGTTAAACCATTCCCTTGAGTTGAACTAATTGTTGGGAGAATCTAGGGTTGTAAAACCTGAAGAATTACTTGATGAGCAAAGACATTTAACATGATAGTGACTCAGTTCCAAATTTCCAACTCCCTAACCTAACCCACTCTAGGATAATGCAAAGACAGAGTTGAGTTGAATAGACAAATAAAGAGTTTAAAAGAGAGAGTTTTCATTTGCCATAGACTAAGTACTTATTCAATTCTTATATTACTCACCCTAGGACGGATATATCTAGGAGGATGTGTATTGATAATCAAGCCACAATCATTGTCAAGTGTAAGATTTCACTTGATTGTTAAATCTTTCAATTATGAAAAGATGGATTCCGTAACTATCACATGCAGGGAGTTAATTAATAACTAGAAAATTAGGAACTGAATATTGGTTAATTAAGAAACCTATATCACTATTATTAGTTGGTTTGTATTAATTAAAATTAGTTTAGGGTGCATTTGATTTAGTATTTTAGATAGTATTTTTGAAAAAGTAAGAGCCGGGTGGTTACTACAAGGTAAGATTTAAAAATTAACAAAAACACCCCATAGGTTTGTTAATTTACTAAATACCCCTGTAATAAAATATTAAAAATTAACAAAAACACCCCCACCCACCCATTAAATACCAATAGTCGACCACCACCGTTGGAGCCCATAGGGTGGTCGGAGTCGCTGTATCAGCGCACGATCGGGTGAATCTAGCCGGTCGTACGCCGATATGGCCTTTTCCAGCCAGATCCACCATGGATCTAGCCGAAAAAAGCCAGATCTACGACTAGATTTGGCCATTAACGGCCATATCTGGCTGCGTTTAATCATTAACGACGGCCAAAGATATGGCCATCATTGATGGTCGACAACGGCCATATCTTGGCCATCGTTGACGACTAGCTACGGTTAAAGATCTAGCCGTCAATAGCCAGATCTTTGGTCGTAGATCTAACCTTTTCCGACCAAATCCACGGTGGATCTAGTTGGAAAAGGCTATATCGGCGCACTACTGGCCAAATCCAACCGGTAGTGCGCCATTATTCAACTGTGGATCTAGCCGAAAAAGGCCAAATCTACGGCTAGATCTGGCTATTAACGGCCAGATATGGCCGCGTTTGGTCGTCAACGATGGCCAAAGATATGGCCGTCGTTGATGATCAACAACGGCCATATCTTGGCCATCGTTGACGACTAGCTACGGCCAAAGATCTGGCCGTCATAGATCTGACATTTTCTAACCAAATCCACAGTGAATCTGGTTGGAAAAGGCTATATCGGCGCACTATCGGCCAGATCCAGCCGGTAGTGCACCATTATACTAGATTCTAACCACCTTCCGGCGGTGGCGGTTGGAATCTGGCAAATGTTGGTAGGTGGGGTGTTTTTGTCAATTTCTAAACCTTTTTTGGGGGATGTTTAGTTAAATTAACAAACTTAGGGAGTTTAAAAATAATTGAATAAAATATAATAGTATTTTCAGAATAGGGAAACAAATGTATATTTTGAAAATTATAGGAATAAGATAGGGCAAAAATAGGGAAACAAACGTGTACTTCAATTCTTGCATTACTAATTTAGTTTTATTTTTCATTAAAAGTTATTCCTGTCGACTAGGTTAATGATTACCTTAATTTAGATTTTAATTAGGTTTCAAATAGTTAGTGATCTCCATGAGTTCAACTCGTAGACCGCTAGAATGATACTCCATCAAATTTTGGGAGCTTCTGAATTTTATCTAAAACCATATATACATTTTAAGCTTTTCCACCTGCTAGCTTATGCTTTCGGGTTGATTTCTCTAACATTTTAATAGAGGTAGGCATACTCTTTGGGCTTCTGCCTCAAAAGACTCTGACGATACCTCTTTTTTCATTATCCATCTTAACTGGTCCGGGTAGTAAGTTGATTCTGGTATTTTAAGATTTGTCTAGACCACAGTATTTCTCTTGTTTTGGTATTTTTTGCACAGGTTTATGATACTCTTTGTAAAGCCTTAGCCCCTTTTAGATGGGTTACTTTTGTAGTACTGGATTTCTAATCCACTATCAAAGTTTTTTACATTAATATACAAATCTACGTTTCCTATTAAAAAAAAATAAAAAAATAAAAAAATTGAGGTTGGCATACTTGTTCCTGATTCTTTTGCCCCTTTCTTAGATCTTTCTTTACTCTATTTGCAATTAACACGACAAACCCATTCTTTCTCATGCCCATTTGTTAGATCTTTCTTTATCCTGTCCTTCAACTTTACAAGACTATCTTTCTCCAGGCCAGTTGTTAGATCTTTCTTTACCCTGTTCAACTTTATACAACCCCAACCTTTCTCTAGCTGCATGTGATACAAGGTACTCAAAAATTCCACCGAGCTTAAGCTTTTGAATTAATTTCTCTAACAAAGATAGACTGATGGTCTCCCAATAGCAACAAAAAATTCCCACATCATGCTCTTTGCCAGAACTTAATAGAAAAAAGAGTTAAAATAAAAATATACTTTAGATAATTGCTAAACCACTAAGGTTTTAGTATAGGATTTGCAAAATTATACTGCAATAGGGTGCATGAATAATGATATAGAAAATGTGAATTACCTGAAAATTTGGTCAAGATCATCAAAGCTTCCAATGTTAGCCCAGCTGTAGTCAAAATCCCCTTGGTCTTTATCTTCATGGGTATTTTGGAAAATTTCAGGATCTTTATCAAGTTCGGGTTTCACTGCTGTTAAAAGTACAGGGTGTTACAAGAAAGGACAAATATCTTAAACTAGATCATGCTATCTACTTTCTTTTCCAGTATAAGTGTTCTTACCACCAGTTGTTGAATTATTTTTGGTAATTTTATCTATCCTATCAGAAACTTCTCTACCGATGGGATCCACATCTGTTTTGGCAGTATTAGATAAAGATAAATCAGACCATGAGCCCAAGCTGGATCCTGAGGCAGATATTCTTTCATTTGAGATAAAATTGGAACTGCTCTCCAACTTTCTTCCATGAAAATCAATTTTAGCCCTTGGCGACTTACTCTCCAAAGACATAATGGTTGTAGCTTCTTGACTCAATTCCTTCTTGTTGCAGTAATCTTTAATTCCCTCTTGATATGGGACAATATGGTCATCACCCTTCCCAGCCTCACCCCATATTATATTTGTAAGCTGAAAATAAAATAGTGTCAAGCATCAGCTAAACATGTGACAATTTGAAAAACAACAAATCTTCAAGCAGTTCATAGTATTAAAATTTGGCAATCTGTTAACAATAAATCACAATGATAATGATCAAAACTAAAGCGCTGCTTCAAATCAGACAGCTAGGGAGGTAAAAAGTTATAACTAAAATAAAATTTAAACATTTCAATAGATTTAATACGCACTAAATATTGGAGTTCATTTATTATACTTTCTGCAAGTAAAACATTTATAATCTTCCTGGATGAGTTTTCATATTTATGAAACCATGAAATACCACTTCCAAACACCATCAATATATTTTCATATATGTCATTGGATTCTTTTGGTATTATGTTTCTAAGCTGAAATAGTGTCAAGCATCAGCAAAACATGTGACAATTCAAAAACAACAAATCTTCAAGCGGTTCATGGTATTAACATTTGGCAATCTGTTAACAATTAATCACAGTGATAACGATCAAAACTAAAATGCTGCTTCAACTCAGAGAAATAGCCAGGGAGGTAAGAACTTGTAACATAAAATTTAAAATTTTCAATAGATTTAACAAGCACTAAAATATTGGTATTCTTCACAAGTAAAACATTTACAGTCGTCCTGGATGAGTTTTCATATTTATGAAACCATGAAATACCACTTTTAAATACCATCAAATATATCTTTTTCCATTTATTTTATTGGATTCTTTTGGTAATTCAATTTATTTTAGATGCAGAATGGATATAACATGTAAAAACATTTTCGAATTGCCTCCATCTATACTACAAATCCCTAGGCATGCCCATCATTTACTAGAAAATGTTGAATATGGCATTCTTTCTGCAAGTTGTCTTTATGCATGATATAATGCATCATGGACCTGAAGCATAATTATTTGTTGGTTCTTTAAGTTTGAGATCAAGGGCCAGCAGACCCAGGAAGGTTTCTCTACATGTCTCATGAAACTAGCATCAGTTAAACATGTAGTATCTCCAAGAGAATAAATTTCTGTCTTCTGCTCAATATCACATGCTACGACAGAATCAAACCTCAAGGTAAGAAATTCTTCGCAGAAACACAGCAAGAATTAAAAGCATCATCAAGATATGATTAACTATAACTGACTTTGAATAACATCGATAAAGCATAAAACAAGTAAGTGCAAGATTGGATGCTTTTCCAAAGAAGAAAATTTAAGAAATTTCTTAAAATGTAGTTTTTTAAATAATTCAATTATATATTTATTTTTTATTTAAAAAAAAAGAAATTTAGAAATTTAAAAAAATATATATATAAAGTAAATGGCTGGTAGCCATGGAATCAGATATTGTTGATAGATAACAGTTCCATTTGATATTCACTAGCCAATATATAACATGCATTGGGTTTCGAAAGAAAAGCAATGTAGAACAGCTAGATGGATGAAAGACATAGGATGGGGAGCAAATTTTCAGAAAATTGAAGTAGAAAGAATGTGTCCAAGGCCTGGATTAAATACTAAATTATTTTTCTTCGTATTTGACTACTAGGCCCTATTTAGTAATACGAACTATGTTGTATAAGAGGACAATTTAGTAATAAATAAGCTAATTTATATGTTTTGTTGAAACTTTACATTGCATTAACTAATACCAAATACAAACAGTTAATACACAGACATAATACGACATAATACCAGTAGAAAGGTAGGTTAAGGATGTATTGTATTATTTACCAAATCTCATATTTTATATTTTACCTCAATTAATTAAAATTATCTAATTTTTTTTCAAAAAATGAATTTACAAAAAAATTTGAAATTAATTAAAAGCTAATAATTTAAAAACTAGCCAAAAAAAAAAAAAAATGCTGTCATTGGCATTTAATGCTATTCTCCACCTATAACAAAAATGACCGACGATACAAAAACCTCATACTTGTTAAAGTTTCGCTGTCATTGAAGCAGTCCAGTGGACTGAAATAAACAATTAAATTTCCAACTTCACTAACATCAACAACAAATGCTGGGGCTTTAAAGTACACCACTAACATCAATGGATAAATTGTCTACCTTCAATCATGTTGATATCAACAATGTGGTCAACAGATCCCATATAACACTAGTGTCAAAATCCGGCAACCAGCAAGTGACACTATTTTCTTCAATTTTTTTATAAATAATTGTCTTTAAAGATTTTTAATTAAATTTCAAGAAGTTAAAAAATTTAATTAGAAAATAAATCTGATCTAATGAACGCAATGGTGCAACAAGCACAATAGTATATTTTGTATAGTATAATACAAATACAATGTTATATGGTATAATACATTAAAATACAATGCAAAATTAATCTAAGCTAATAAAACAAAATGGTGAACCAAACACAATACTCTCTTCCGCACAATATAATAAAAATACAATGTTATACAGTATGATACAATATAATACACTGTAGCACGCAAAAAATGGTCATATTGTAGTGTTTAATATGACAAACTCATCACTTTGCCAATACATTTTTGAACCTCCAACTGTTTTCTAATCATGCTTCTATAGGGTTGACATCTTTGTAATTATACATCACCCACCTTCTAACTCCAAAGCCTATTGACTGCCAATTGATAAAGTATTTATATCTTGGATGACAAATTTTGTTCTCCAAATGATAATTGTCATCCTATTCGGTTCAGCGAAAAACTACCCAACAACTAATGATACTTGACTTATTGAAGAAACACTCCACCATCTTGATTTTCTTTGTTGAAGTCTTATCTATGGCCTTGCATCACCGAATTCAGAATGTTCTCCACTTAGAAAAAGGGATATAGAACATCACACAAATTTGCACACATATGATGGGTATAAACAGGAGACCTTAGAACTTACTGAAGACCACTTAAGAATTGGATATTATATAACTACCACTTCCACCTTTGGGTAATAATATATCAGCCTTAGGTCCCATCGAGGATTATCTCCATTTTCTCATTATATGATGGGTTTGAGGTGAAATAGAGTATTATTAGTCGATGCCTATTAATCTTAGATTATCAAGTGTGATTATAGTTCACCTAGATCTAAGTCTAATTATGTTTGATTAACAGTTTTCTTTATCGAAAAAAAAATGAGGGGTTATGTGATTAAAAATGCCAAACCTGGCAAGTGCATGACAATATCTGAAAATATAGGGGTACTTAGTGAGATTTTCTGCATTAAAATTGCTTTGTAACCATAAACAAAACCATAAAGATGTAATCACACAAACTCTCTCCTAAGGCAGATCTTCTTTCCAGAGTTCCTCGTTTTTGTCATTCCAAACAGACCAAAAAGAATTGTCAAAAACCACACCAACACAGCATCTTGAGCCATCACTCCTCTTCCAAAAGGAATATGATACTCCACAAATAGAGGTAGTATGAACTTTCTCTCATTTCTCAAATTCTAGACAATCCAAAAATAATTGTCAAAACAGCTGCACCTCCACAACATCCAGAGCTTCCACCAACTTTGACACTTTATACTCCGGCATAAAATTCAATGGCACACATTTAATCACAGAAATCAAAGATGCTATCTCCTCCAAATTTCTAGGGAAGTCGAAAACTTTCATTGAAAGTTGTTCAATAAAGCAATCAACTTGCTTTCAACAGAAGCTTTATACACTATTTGCAGTCTATAAATTCTATAAATGATTAAGAAAGTGGAACATCCCCAACTACTCTCATCTCAAAACAGAAATCTTTTCTTTTTCTTTTTTCAATTTAAAATAGGTTGTAAAACAAGATTCAGAAATAACTTTCCATGGACTTCTAGAGGCCACCCACTTTCTTAGGCTACATGCAAAAATACTCCATACAGCCTAAAATGTGTTAGGATTCTACAATCTCACACCCACCAAGTGTGGTACTTAAGCCTAGAAGCTCTCCCACTTATTAGGCCGGTCTTTTGGGTTGGACTCTCCCTTGGGCCTGAATTCTAACATTGGTGCTTTCGTTGAGAGTTGGGTTACGGAAAAGGCTACCTATAGGCTAGATTAAGGTGCAGTGTGCTCTCCTTGGAAGGGGGTACTGCATTGAATAATTGATAGGTGAGCGAAGCCACCAAAAGGGGCAAAGAGCTACGTCGGGTCAATGTCGATAGAGTGATAGAGTGGAAGCCATCATGAACATCAGCTCTTGAAGGGGGGTGCAATGTTAGGATCGCCCAAGTGTGGTACTTAAGCCTAAGAGCTCTCCCACTTATTAGATCAGTCTTTTGGGTTGGACTCTCCCTTGGGCTTGAGTTCTAACAAAATGCCATAGAGAATTGATTTTAAAAGGAAATCTCCACATAACATGCCTTATCTCTTTTCAAAAAATTACCAATTCCTATGTCATTCTTATTACAAGAATGTGAAATTGAATTTCAAAGTAAAATGAATTTTCTTCCCGCAACTCATCCCTTTACACAAGAAATCCTCTCATTAACTTTTAATCCTGCCACATTTTCTCAAACATTTAAAAAGGGATAATAGATTGAAAGATCTGGCAGTACCAAACTTCAAGTGATCCTACTTTTAATAAAAAGCCTCCCTTATATCCCTAAAATCTGTCTTCAACCTTCGCAACAACTGATTATACCTTACAAGTAAGTCCAAACATTTTAAGGAGGTCAATTACCACGAGAAAAACCAACCATTTCAAATTAAAATTGGTCATCAACAATTTTAATTGGTATGCATAAGAATTGATCATTACAATACGAATTTGACGTATGCAAAAGCCTTTGTACTTTCCAAAGCTTGTGACACTGTCCACTCAAAACTCACAATGCGCCAACTCTTACAGCCATATCAAATGGTGATAGTCAAACACAATTTCAATAAAAGTCTGCAACAAATGATGGTTTCTCATATCATCTACTCATAAATAGACTTTCAGCCAATCTTCAACTTCACCAGGAATTGATAAATATCAAGCACTTCTTCAACCATAGATTTGTTATCCAGGATCTCTTCACAGAAAATTCATACAATTGTACTTCCTCAAAAATTAGTGGAACATTAAAACCATCACTAGACATATCAAAATCATCAACAAGGCCATCGTCATCTACTGTTTGCAAATTTGAATCGGGATTCTTTAGCAGAAAATTCTGAATTACCTTCAAGCAGTAGAAGGTGAAACCGAACTCTTACACCACTAATAACTGTATAAACAACAACGGAATGTTAGTATATACCTCAGTTCTTTTTAACTTCTCGTTGTATTGTCACTAATGGTACTAGTAGATTTAGTAGTCTTAACTTGTCCAATCAAGTACACAATAGCATCAAGCCTATAAACCTTCTCCACATGTTCATCTAGACCAAGTGACTTGTCTAGCAAGCATGATTCATAAATGATTCAAGCTTTCCTTTTTTCCCTTTCGAAATGGAATTTTTATCAAAGAATTACTTCTTTTTTCTGAACAGATGTATGGTTGAATGAATGGTGGTGTTCTAGGGAACTGGTTGAGAAGAGTATCTGGAAGGAAGCGATTAGGATCAATGTTGAATTTGATACCAAATGATGCACGTGGTACGTTGCAAGTGAAACTAATGTGCGGTAAGGCTAATAAAAAAGTCTGTAGATTCTAAGAATAATAATGAAGAAAACAAGCCAAACTATTGTTTATCAAAAAAATACTAAGAATGAGCAATTAAAAACTGTTGATTCTACATAATACCAAAAGAAGTAACATAAAAGAAAAATCAACTCTAAGAAAGCGGTAACATCATCTACAACACTGTGCCACTATATTTGTCCAATTTGTTCAATGGGTTGCATTCACCACAACAAAAGTCTCCTCTTTCCTAGAGACACTAATTTCATCTCCTAAAAATTGAACCCACTTTTTAGACCACTAAATTCAAACTGTCATAGACTCCCAATTGACCAAGGTAACCCTTTTTCCTAGAAAGATGACGAGGCACTGGTTCAAAGTTCATTGCAACTCCAAAACTGCCTAACCATTCTTTGAGAAAAAGTTCCACTCCTAACTTATGACCCATCACAAAAACCTTAACCCATTAACACTGAATGCAGATATGTTGAATAATTCATTAAACAAATATGATTCAAATAACCGAAATCAGATTTGGAGGTGAATACATAAACAAAAAAATCAAAAATCTAGAACTCTCATCAATTTCAATAAACATTACAGAAACTCTGAAACTAAATTAATTTCATTTTCATACGCACCATCATAAAAATGAATGATAAAATAAAAAAAATAAAAAAAAAAGTAAAAAACAAAAGGATTACCTCTTCGTCGTTCCAATCAAACATAGCTAAAGAAGCCGCAGCAGAAACCAGACGCAGAAGAAAATTCAAGAATAAGCTCGAATATTACTCCGAACATCGCCAAACTACTCTTTTTTTTTTTTTTTTCTTTTGAAAGAAAACTAAAAGAAGATAACTACAGCATCAATGTTTCTAAACAAGAATCGAAAACAAAACACTTTCTTTGTTGCTAAACAAAATTTGAAAACAAAAGAAAGTTAGCGGAAGAAAAGCCATGCATAACAAAGGAAAGAGAATTTAACTGTAACAAACTCACAACTGGATCCCAGTTCACGTGAAGTTCACGTGGGTTTGATTGGTTTTATTTGGTGAATGGTGGACTGTGTCGTTACACGTGGCGGAGTGTATCTTAACTTGTGGTTGGGAGACGAACCCGATCTAATGTTTACAGCTTGGCATTTTTTCACATTTCAATTTGCATTTCATTTAAGGAGTTTTTTGGCCCCTGATGTTTTCCGTAAGTAACACAAGGTCCAGTTAAATCTGATAATAACACTTAAGCCTTTCAAAGATAACAGTTTTTTTTAAATTTCTTTTTTGAAAGTCCAAAATACCCCTAATCTCTTCTTATATAAATGAAATTTAAAATTTATAGAATTATAAAAAGAATACGCGACTGCTAACTAAAAATTCATTTAAAAATATTGAACTCTTTTTTATTATTATAAGAAAATAAAAGTTAATGTATTAGGGGTATTTTAGTGACACTACTAATTAAACGAGTTTTGTAACCCATTTATGATATGATTATTCGTTTATGACATGAATAGATTAAATGTGTTATAAATAGATTCAAAGAGTTCAACATTTGACACAAAGGTTAAATGGATTAAACATGAATAATATTATATATACAATATTTTTATACAATATTTTCTATACAATTTTGTCATAAAAGATTATTTGATGAAAGTTTAATTTTAATTTGAAATTAATTAATTATATTTTTTTATATAATGTTGTATAAAAAATGATGTATATGTAATATTACTTATTAAATATTTGGGTGAGATTTGATTATTTTCCAAGAAAGTTATACTTAAATTCTAAGAGATTAACTTGGGGAGGGTAAATGATATTCTTGCCATATATTTTGGTGGGCAACCAGAGATAGAGATTGGAGTCTGGAGATAGCGGTGGAAGTTGCTTTAGTGGTCGTTTTCAAGGGTGGGCAATGGGTAATTGGGTATGGACCAAATATTTTTCATGCGTCTTTTATCTCTCGTCTGGTTTGAAATTTTTTGTGAAAAGGACAAAATCTTGGTTGATTAATTTAGTAATAGTCATTTAAAAATAATAAAAGCTTTGAATAAATAGGTGGTTTTAAGGGGCATGGAAAAGGACAATTGAGAATGTGGTGATTATTGACATATTTGTTGTTGCCTTACAATCATATATGGAGTCAACTTTTTAACTTCTCGTTGTATTGTCACTAATGGTACTAGTAGATTTAGTAGTCTTAACTTGTCCAATCAAGTACACAATAGCATCAAGCCTATAAACCTTCTCCACATGTTCATCTAGACCAAGTGACTTGTCTAGCAAGCATGATTCATAAATGATTCAAGCTTTCCTTTTTTCCCTTTCGAAATGGAATTTTTATCAAAGAATTACTTCTTTTTTCTGAACAGATGTATGGTTGAATGAATGGTGGTGTTCTAGGGAACTGGTTGAGAAGAGTATCTGGAAGGAAGCGATTAGGATCAATGTTGAATTTGATACCAAATGATGCACGTGGTACGTTGCAAGTGAAACTAATGTGCGGTAAGGCTAATAAAAAAGTCTGCAGATTCTAAGAATAATAATGAAGAAAACAAGCCAAACTATTGTTTATCAAAAAAATACTAAGAATGAGCAATTAAAAACTGTTGATTCTACATAATACCAAAAGAAGTAACATAAAAGAAAAATCAACTCTAAGAAAGCGGTAACATCATCTACAACACTGTGCCACTATATTTGTCCAATTTGTTCAATGGGTTGCATTCACCACAACAAAAGTCTCCTCTTTCCTAGAGACACTAATTTCATCTCCTAAAAATTGAACCCACTTTTTAGACCACTAAATTCAAACTGTCATAGACTCCCAATTGACCAAGGTAACCCTTTTTCCTAGAAAGATGACGAGGCACTGGTTCAAAGTTCATTGCAACTCCAAAACTGCCTAACCATTCTTTGAGAAAAAGTTCCACTCCTAACTTATGACCCATCACAAAAACCTTAACCCATTAACACTGAATGCAGATATGTTGAATAATTCATTAAACAAATATGATTCAAATAACCGAAATCAGATTTGGAGGTGAATACATAAACAAAAAAATCAAAAATCTAGAACTCTCATCAATTTCAATAAACATTACAGAAACTCTGAAACTAAATTAATTTCATTTTCATACGCACCATCATAAAAATGAATGATAAAATAAAAAAAATAAAAAAAAAAGTAAAAAACAAAAGGATTACCTCTTCGTCGTTCCAATCAAACATAGCTAAAGAAGCCGCAGCAGAAACCAGACGCAGAAGAAAATTCAAGAATAAGCTCGAATATTACTCCGAACATCGCCAAACTACTCTTTTTTTTTTTTTTTTCTTTTGAAAGAAAACTAAAAGAAGATAACTACAGCATCAATGTTTCTAAACAAGAATCGAAAACAAAACACTTTCTTTGTTGCTAAACAAAATTTGAAAACAAAAGAAAGTTAGCGGAAGAAAAGCCATGCATAACAAAGGAAAGAGAATTTAACTGTAACAAACTCACAACTGGATCCCAGTTCACGTGAAGTTCACGTGGGTTTGATTGGTTTTATTTGGTGAATGGTGGACTGTGTCGTTACACGTGGCGGAGTGTATCTTAACTTGTGGTTGGGAGACGAACCCGATCTAATGTTTACAGCTTGGCATTTTTTCACATTTCAATTTGCATTTCATTTAAGGAGTTTTTTGGCCCCTGATGTTTTCCGTAAGTAACACAAGGTCCAGTTAAATCTGATAATAACACTTAAGCCTTTCAAAGATAACAGTTTTTTTTAAATTTCTTTTTTGAAAGTCCAAAATACCCCTAATCTCTTCTTATATAAATGAAATTTAAAATTTATAGAATTATAAAAAGAATACGCGACTGCTAACTAAAAATTCATTTAAAAATATTGAACTCTTTTTTATTATTATAAGAAAATAAAAGTTAATGTATTAGGGGTATTTTAGTGACACTACTAATTAAACGAGTTTTGTAACCCATTTATGATATGATTATTCGTTTATGACATGAATAGATTAAATGTGTTATAAATAGATTCAAAGAGTTCAACATTTGACACAAAGGTTAAATGGATTAAACATGAATAATATTATATATACAATATTTTTATACAATATTTTCTATACAATTTTGTCATAAAAGATTATTTGATGAAAGTTTAATTTTAATTTGAAATTAATTAATTATATTTTTTTATATAATGTTGTATAAAAAATGATGTATATGTAATATTACTTATTAAATATTTGGGTGAGATTTGATTATTTTCCAAGAAAGTTATACTTAAATTCTAAGAGATTAACTTGGGGAGGGTAAATGATATTCTTGCCATATATTTTGGTGGGCAACCAGAGATAGAGATTGGAGTCTGGAGATAGCGGTGGAAGTTGCTTTAGTGGTCGTTTTCAAGGGTGGGCAATGGGTAATTGGGTATGGACCAAATATTTTTCATGCGTCTTTTATCTCTCGTCTGGTTTGAAATTTTTTGTGAAAAGGACAAAATCTTGGTTGATTAATTTAGTAATAGTCATTTAAAAATAATAAAAGCTTTGAATAAATTTGGCTCTGCCTAAAGACTTGAAGATACCTCTTTTTCTTTGTCCATCTTAACTGGTCCGGGTAGTAATTGATTCTGGTATTTTAAGATTTGTCTAGACCATAGTATTTCTCTTTTTTGGTATTTTTTGCACAGGTTTATGATACTCTTTGTAAAGGTTTAGCCCCTTTTAGATGGGTTACTTTGTAGTACTGGATTTCTAATCCACTATCAAAGTTTTTTTACATTAATATACAAATCTACGTTTCCTATAAAAAAAAAAAGAAAAAAAATTGAGGTAGGCATACTTGTTCCTGTTCTTTTGCCCCTTTCTTAGATCTTTCTTTACTCTATTTGCAATTAACACGACAAACCCATTCTTTCTCATGCCCATTTTAGATCTTTCTTTATCCTGTCCTTCAACTTTACAAGACTAACCACCTTCTCCAGGCCAGTTGTTAGATCTTTCTTTACCCTGTTCAACTTTATACAACCCCAACGTTTCTCTAGCTGCATTGATACAAGGTACTAAAAAATTCCACCGAGCTTAAGCTTTGAATTGATTTCTCTAAAAAAGATAGTGATGGTCCCAATACAACAAAAGATTCCCACATCATGCTCTTTGCCAGAACTTATAGAAAAAGAGTTAAAATAAAATATACTTAGATAATGCTAAACCACTAAGGTTTTAGTATAGGTTTGCAAAATTATACTGCAATAGGGTGCATGAATAATGATATAGAAAATGTGAATTACCTGAAATTGGGTCAAGATCATCAAAGCTTCCAATGTTAGCCCAGCTGTAGTCAAAATCCCCTTGGTCTTTATCTTCATGGGTATTTTGGAAAATTTCAGGATCTTTATCAAGTTCGGGTTTCACTGCTGTTAAAATACAGGGTGTTACAGACAGGACAAATATCTTAAACTAGATCATGCTATCTACTTTTCTTTCCATTATAAGTGTTCTTACCACCAGTTGTTGAATTATTTTTGGTAATTTTATCTATACTATCAGAAACTTCTCTACCGATGGATCCCATCTGTTTTGGCATTATTGATAAAGATAATCAGACCATGAGCCCAAGCTGGATCCTGAGGCAGATATTCTTTCATTTGAGATAAAATTGGAACTGCTCTCCAACTTTCTTCCATGAAAATCAATTTTAGCCCTTGGCGACTTACTCTCCAAAGACATAATGGTTGTAGCTTCTTGACTCAATTCCTTCTGTTGCAGTAATCTTAATTCCCTCTTGATATGGGACAATATGGTCATCAACCTCCCCACCTCACCCATATTATATTGTACGGAAAATAACATAGTGTTCAAGCATCAGCTAAACATGTGACAATTGAAAAACAACAAATCTTCAAGCAGTTCATAGTATTAAAATTTGGCAATCTGTTAACAATAAATCCCAATGATAATGATCAAAACTAAAGCGCTGCTTCAAATCAGACAGCTAGGAGGTAAAAAGTTATAATAACTAAATAAATTTAAACATTTCAATAGATTTATACGCACTAAATATTGGAGTTCATTTATTATACTTTCTGCAAGAAACATTTATAATCTTCCTGGATGAGTTTTCATTTTATGAAACCATGAAATCCACTTCCAAACACCATCAATAATTTTCATATATGTCTTGGATTCTTTTGGTATTATGTTTCTAAGCTGAAATAGTGTCAAGCATCAGCAAAACATGTGACAATTCAAAACACAAATCTCAAGCGGTTCATGGTATTAACATTTGGCAATCTGTTAACAATTAATCACAGTGATAACGATCAAAACTAAAATGCTGCTCAACTCAGAGAAATAGCCGGGAGGTAAGAACTGTAACAAAATTTAAAATTTTCAATAGATTTAACAAGCACTAAATATTGGTATTCTTCACAAGTAAAACATTTCAGTCGTCCTGGATGAGTTTTCATATTTATGAAACCATGAAATACCACTTTTAAATCATCAAATATATCTTTTCCATTTATTTTATTGGATTCTTTTGGCAATTCAATTTTTTTGGATGCAGAATGGATATACATATAAAAACATTTATGAATTGCCTCCATCTATACTACAAATCCCTAGGCGTGCCCATCATTTACTAGAAAATGTTGAATATGGCATCTTTCTGCAAGTTGTCTTGAGGCAAGATATAATGCATCATCGACCTGAAGCATAATTATTTGTTGGTTCTTTAAGTTTGAGATCAAGGGCCAGCAGACCCAGGAAGGTATCTCTACATGTCTCATGAAACTAGCATCAGTTAAACACGTAGTATCTCTGAATAAATTTCCGTCTTCTGCTCAATATCACATGCTACGACAGAATCAAACCTCAAGGTAAGAAATTCTTCGCAGAAACACAGCAAGAATTAAAAGCATCATCAAGATATATTACATAACTGACTTTGAATAACATTGATAAAGCATAAAACAAGCAAGAATTCAAAGTCTCTTATTGTAGACTCAAAGCCTTAGTATTTATTACTTCTTTTAGAATCTTTTTCTAGAATTTTGTGATTTGTTTCCTTATTCTCAGTTTTTTTATGATTTGTTCTTTTGCTAGAAATTTCCTTGCTAGATTGAATAAGAGAAAAACTTTCTTATTCGGATTGATCCTGTATATTAGATGTAAACTTATGCCCAATATTGTTGATTTGATTTACTAGTTAACTGTCAACCTAAGAGAGTCACCCACATTCCTTCAGAGTTCCTTGGATAGATAAAACCTCTATATCAATCACTAAGGGGTGTTTAGTTCCTCTCAGACTAGTATTCTACTCTTAAGATATAACCATAATGTTCTCATGGATGTTGTCTATTTTGTTTTTAGCTAAACCTCGGCATTAGAATCATGATTTTAAGAATTTTGAAAGAGATTATTTATCAAGTGTTTGCCCAAGGTGGTAAGACCATTGCCTTGAGGTTTGCCACGCCTTCAAATGATTCTACAGACCCTACCAATTCCTGTAAGGAAAAGCCAAAATCTAAGCCCACACATTCAGTGTCAGATAAAGACAACCTTTATAATTTGCCTCCTAAGCGATCTGCATGTGCAACTCATGCAATAGATGTTATGTTTTGCTTAGATGTTCAGGAATAATCCATAGGATTCCTTAGTGCCTAGTTAAACCATTCCCTTGAGTTGAACTAATTGTTGGGAGAATCTAGGGTTGTAAAACCTGAAGAATTACTTGATGAGCAAAGACATTTAACATGATAGTGACTCAGTTCCAAATTTCCAACTCCCTAACCTAACCCACTCTAGGATAATGCAAAGACAGAGTTGAGTTGAATAGACAAATAAAGAGTTTAAAAGAGAGAGTTTTCATTTGCCATAGACTAAGTACTTATTCAATTCTTATATTTCTCACCCTAAGACGGATATATCTAGGAGGATGTGTATTGATAATCAAGCCACAATCATTGTCAAGTATACGATTTCACTTGATTGTTAAATCTTTCAATTATGAAAAGATGGATTCCGTAACTATCACATGCAGGGAGTTAATTAATAACTAGAAAATTAGGAACTGAATATTGGTTAATTAAGAAACCTTTATCACTATTATCAGTTGGTTTGTATTAATTAAAATTAGTTTAGGGTGCATTTGATTTAGTATTTTTGAAAAAGTAAGAGTTGGATGGTTATTACGAGGTAAGATTTAAAAATTAACAAAAACACCCCATAGATTTGTTAATTTACTAAATACCTCTGTAATAAAACATTAAAAATTAACAAAAACACCCCCATCCACCCATTAAATACCGGCAGTCGGCCACCACCGCCAAAGCCCAGAGGATGGTCGGAGTCACCGTATTGGCGTATGACCGGATGGATCTGGCCGATCGTGCGCTGATATAGCCTTTTCCAACCAAATCCACCGTAGATCTAGCCAAAAAAGGCCAAATCTATGACTAGATCTGGCCATTAATGGTCATATCTGGCTGCGTTTGGTCATCAACGACAGTTGAAGATATGGCCATCATTGATGGTCAACAACAGCCATATCTTGGCCATCGTTGACGACTAGCTACGGCCAGATCTGGCTGTAGATCTGACTTTTTCCGACCAAATTCATGGTGGATATAGTTAAAAAGGTTATATCGACGTACTATTGGCCAAATCCAGCTGATAGTGCGCCATTATTCAGCCGTGGATCTAGCCGAAAAAGGTCAAATCTACAGCTAGATCTGGCTATTAGCGGCTAGATATTGCCGCATTTGGTCGTCAACGACAGCCGAAGATATGGCCGCCATTGATGGTCAACAACGGCCATATCTTGGCCATCGTTGACGACTAGCTACGGCCAAAGATCAAGCTGATCTTTGGCCGTAGATCTGACCTTTTCCGACCAAATCCAAGGTGGATCTAGTTGTAAAAGGTTATATCGGCGCACTACCGACCAGATCCAACCGATAGTGCGCCATTATACCAGATTCCGACCACCTTCCAACAGTGGTGGCTAAAATCTGGCAAATGTGGGTGGGTGGGGTGTTTTTGTCAATTTCTAAACTTTTTTTGGGGGGTTTTTAGTTAAATTGACAAATTTAGGGGGTTTAAAAAAAATTGAATAAAATATAATAGTATTTTCAGAATAAGGAAACAAATGCGTATTTTGAAAATTATAGGAATAGGATAGGACAAAAATAGGGAAACAAACGCACCCTTAATTTATGTACTTCAATTCTTGCATTACTAATTTAGTTTTATTTTTCATTAAAAGTTATTCCTGTCAACTGGGTTAATGATTACCTTAATTTAGATTTTAATTAGGTTTCAAATAATTAGGGATCTCCATGAGTTCAACTCGTAGACCGCTAGAATGATACTCCATCAAATTTTGGGAGCTTCTGAATTTGATCTAAAACCATATATACATTTTAAGCTTTTCCACCTGCTAGCTTATGCTTTCGGGTTGATTTCTCTAACATTTTAATAGAGGTAGGCATACTCTTTGGGCTTCTGCCTCAAAAGACTCTGAAGATACCTCTTTTTTCTTTGTCCATCTTAACTGGTCCGGGTAGTAAGTTGATTCTGGTATTTTAAGATTTGTCTAGACCATAGTATTTCTCTTGTTTTGGTATTTTTTGCACAGGTTTATGATACTCTTTGTAAAGGTTTAGCCCCTTTTAGATGGGTTACTTTTGTAGTACTGGATTTCTAATCCACTATCAAAGTTTTTTACATTAATATACAAATCTACGTTTCCTATTAAAAAAAAATAAAAAAATAAAAAAATTGAGGTTGGCATACTTGTTCCTGATTCTTTTGCCCCTTTCTTAGATCTTTCTTTACTCTATTTGCAATTAACACGACAAACCCATTCTTTCTCATGCCCATTTGTTAGATCTTTCTTTATCCTGTCCTTCAACTTTACAAGACTAACCACTCTTTCTCCAGGCCAGTTGTTAGATCTTTCTTTACCCTGTTCAACTTTATACAACCCCAACGTTTCTCTAGCTGCATGTGATACAAGGTACTAAAAAATTCCACCGAGCTTAAGCTTTTGAATTGATTTCTCTAACAAAGATAGACTGATGGTCTCCCAATAGCAACAAAAAATTCCCACATCATGCTCTTTGCCAGAACTTAATAGAAAAAAGAGTTAAAATAAAAATATACTTTAGATAATTGCTAAACCACTAAGGTTTTAGTATAGGATTTGCAAAATTATACTGCAATAGGGTGCATGAATAATGATATAGAAAATGTGAATTACCTGAAAATTTGGTCAAGATCATCAAAGCTTCCAATGTTAGCCCAGCTGTAGTCAAAATCCCCTTGGTCTTTATCTTCATGGGTATTTTGGAAAATTTCAGGATCTTTATCAAGTTCGGGTTTCACTGCTGTTAAAAGTACAGGGTGTTACAAGAAAGGACAAATATCTTAAACTAGATCATGCTATCTACTTTCTTTTCCAGTATAAGTGTTCTTACCACCAGTTGTTGAATTATTTTTGGTAATTTTATCTATCCTATCAGAAACTTCTCTACCGATGGGATCCACATCTGTTTTGGCAGTATTAGATAAAGATAAATCAGACCATGAGCCCAAGCTGGATCCTGAGGCAGATATTCTTTCATTTGAGATAAAATTGGAACTGCTCTCCAACTTTCTTCCATGAAAATCAATTTTAGCCCTTGGCGACTTACTCTCCAAAGACATAATGGTAGCAGCTTCTTGACTCAATTCCTTCTTGTTGCAGTAATCTTTAATTCCCTCTTGATATGGGACAATATGGTCATCACCCTTCCCAGCCTCACCCCATATTATATTTGTAAGCTGAAAATAAAATAGTGTCGAGCATCAGCTAAACATGTGACAATTTGAAAAACAACAAATCTTCAAGCAGTTCATAGTATTAAAATTTGGCAATCTGTTAACAATAAATCACAATGATAATGATCAAAACTAAAGCGCTGCTTCAAATCAGACAGCCAGGGAGGTAAAAAGTTATAACTAAAATAAAATTTAAACATTTCAATAGATTTAACACGCACTAACTATTGGAGTTCATTTATTATACTTTCTGCAAGTAAAACATTTATAATCTTTCTGGATGAGTTTTCGTATTTATGAAACCATGAAATACCACTTCCAAACACCATCAAATATATCTTTATTCATATATGTCATTGGATTCTTTTGGTATTATATTTCTAAGCTGAAATAGTGTCAAGCATCAGCAAAACATGTGACAATTCAAAAACAACAATTAACATTTGGCAATCTGTTAACAATTAATCACAGTGTTAATGATCAAAACTAAAATGCTGCTTCAACTCAGAGACATAGCCAGGGAGGTAAGAACTTGTAACATAAAATTTAAAATTTTCTATAGATTTAACAAGCACTAAATATTGGTATTCTTCACAAGTAAAACATTTACAGTCGTCCTGGATGAGTTTTCATATTTATGAAACCATGAAATACCACTTTTAAATACCATCAAATATATCTTTTTCCATTTATTTTATTGGATTCTTTTGGCAATTCAATTTATTTTGGATGCAGAATGGATATAACATATAAAAACATTTATGAATTGCCTCCATCTATACTACAAATCCCTAGGCGTGCCCATCATTTACTAGAAAATGTTGAATATGGCATTCTTTCTGCAAGTTGTCTTGATGCAAGATATAATGCATCATCGACCTGAAGCATAATTATTTGTTGGTTCTTTAAGTTTGAGATCAAGGGCCAGCAGACCCAGGAAGGTATCTCTACATGTCTCATGAAACTAGCATCAGTTAAACACGTAGTATCTCTGAGAGAATAAATTTCCGTCTTCTGCTCAATATCACATGCTACGACAGAATCAAACCTCAAGGTAAGAAATTCTTCGCAGAAACACAGCAAGAATTAAAAGCATCATCAAGATATGATTAACTATAACTGACTTTGAATAACATTGATAAAGCATAAAACAAGCAAGAATTCAAAGTCATCTTCCACTTTGGCTTGAGAATGTGGTGATTATTGACATATTTGTTGTTGCCTTACAATCATATATGGAGTCAACTTTTTAACTTCTCGTTGTATTGTCACTAATGGTACTAGTAGATTTAGTAGTCTTAACTTGTCCAATCAAGTACACAATAGCATCAAGCCTATAAACCTTCTCCACATGTTCATCTAGACCAAGTGACTTGTCTAGCAAGCATGATTCATAAATGATTCAGGCTTTCCTTTTTTCCCTTTCGAAATGGAATTTTTATCAAAGAATTACTTCTTTTTTCTGAACAGATGTATGGTTGAATGAATGGTGGTGTTCTAGGGAACTGGTTGAGAAGAGTATCTGGAAGGAAGCGATTAGGATCAATGTTGAATTTGATACCAAATGATGCACGTGGTACGTTGCAAGTGAAACTAATGTGCGGTAAGGCTAATAAAAAAGTCTGCAGATTCTAAGAATAATAATGAAGAAAACAAGCCAAACTATTGTTTAGCAAACAAATACTAAGAATGAGCAATTAAAAACTGTTGATTCTACATAATACCACAAGAAGTAACATAAAAGAAAAATCAACTCTAAGAAAGTGGTAACATCATCTACAACACTCTGCCACTATATTTGTCCAATTTGTTCAATGGGATGCATTCACCACAACAAAAGTCTCCTCTTTCCTAGAGACACTAATTTCATCTCCTAAAAATTGAACCCACTTTTTAGACCACTAAATTCAAACTGTCATAGACTCCCAATTGACCAAGGTAACCCTTTTTCCTAGAAAGATGACGAGGCACTGGTTCAAAGTTCCTTGCAACTCCAAAACTCCCTAACCATTCTTTAAGAAAAAGTTCCACTCCTAGCTTATGACCCATCACAAAAACCTTAACCCATTAACACTGAATGCAGATAAGTTGAATAATTCATTAAACAAATATGATTCAAATAACCGAAATCAGATTTGGAGGTGAATACATAAACAAAAAAATCAAAAATCTAGAACTCTCATCAATTTCAATAAACATTACAGAAACTCTGAAACTAAATTAATTTCATTTTCATACGCACCATCATAAAAATGAATGATAAAATAAAAAAGTAAAAAGTAAAAAACAAAAGGATTACCTCTTCGTCGTTCCAATCAAACATAGCTAAAGAAGCCGCAGCAGAAACCAGACGCAGAAGAAAATTCAAGAATAAGCTCGAATATTACTCCGAACATCGCCAAACTACTCTTTTTTTTTTTTTTTCTTTTGAAAGAAAACTAAAAGAAGATAACTACAGCATCAATGTTTCTAAACAAGAATCGAAAACAAAACACTTTCTTTGTTGCTAAACAAAATTTGAAAACAAAAGAAAGTTAGCGGAAGAAAAGCCATGCATAACAAAGGAAAGAGAGTTTAACTGTAACAAACTCACAACTGGATCCCAGTTCACGTGACGTTCACGTGGGTTTGATTGGTTTTATTTGGTGAATGGTGGACTGTGTCGTTACACGTGGCGGAGTGTATCTTAACTTGTGGTTGGGAGACGAACCCGATCTAATGTTTACAGCTTGGCATTTTTTCTCATTTCAATTTGCATTTCATTTAAGGAGTTTTTTGGCCCCTGATGTTTTCCGTAAGTAACACAAGGTCCAGTTAAATCTGATAATAACACTTAGGCCTTTGAAAGATAACAGTTTTTTAAAATTTCTTTTTTGAAAGTCCAAAATACCCCTAATCTCTTCTTATATAAATGAAATTTAAAATTTATAGAATTATAAAAAGAATACGCGACTGCTAACTAAAAATTCATTTAAAAATATTGAACTCTTTTTTATTATTATAAGAAAATAAAAGTTAATGTATTAGGGGTATTTTAGTGACACTACTAATTAAACGAGTTTTGTAACCCATTTATGATATGATTATTCGTTTATGACATGAATAGATTAAATGTGTTATAAATAGATTCAAAGAGTTCAACATTTGACACAAAGGTTAAATGGATTAAACATGAATAATATTATATATACAATATTTTTATACAATATTTTCTATACAATTTTGTCATAAAAGATTATTTGATGAAAGTTTAATTTTAATTTGAAATTAATTAATTATATTTTTTTATATAATGTTGTATAAAAAATGATGTATATGTAATATTACTTATTAAATATTTGGGTGAGATTTGATTATTTTCCAAGAAAGTTATACTTAAATTCTAAGAGATTAACTTGGGGAGGGTAAATGATATTCTTGCCATATATTTTGGTGGGCAACCAGAGATAGAGATTGGAGTCTGGAGATAGCGGTGGAAGTTGCTTTAGTGGTCGTTTTCAAGGGTGGGCAATGGGTAATTGGGTATGGACCAAATATTTTTCATGCGTCTTTTATCTCTCGTCTGGTTTGAAATTTTTTGTGAAAAGGACAAAATCTTGGTTGATTAATTTAGTAATAGTCATTTAAAAATAATAAAAGCTTTGAATAAATAGGTGGTTTTAAGGGGCATGGAAAAGGACAAAATCTTGGTTGATTAATTTAGTAATAGTCATTTAAAAATAATAAAAGCTTTGAATAAATAGGTGGTTTTAAGGGGCTTGGAAAAGGACAAAATCTAGTGCAAATTTAGCTTTTAAGAAAGATAGACCGATATCTAGAGCTGATCAAGGATCAGCCCCAAACAGACCGAGCCAGGGCTCATTTGGGACTGGTTCCAAATAGGATCAGTTACTCATGGTCCCAAACCTATGAACAATTTTAAGACCTGGACCAATCCCTAAAATCGGTCCTATGGGCCTAAAAATTTTATTTTTCCCCCTGATTTTTTTATATTTTAGGGGTGAAACGAAATTTTGTACGGGCTTTTTTAGTATTTTTCAGGGGTAAATTAGTAAGTTTCTAAAAGTTTAATTAATTTTAAAAAGTAAATAATTAATAACTAATTTTAACATAAATGTAATATTCACATTTCACACGTTCACGCTTCACAAATAAAGAATTAAATAATTTTTTTTATTAAATTATTCATCTTCATCGTCAACAATATTTATATCATTCAAATCTATATTCCTAAAAAGTTCGAGTAGTTCGAGATCTTTAGGGTGTTGTGGTAGTTTTCTTTTTACATGAGTCTAATCCCGTAAACACATTATCACTTCAATCATCTCATCGATTAAAGAACATTTTCTGTCTTCAACAATCCGGTCATTCGTTGAAAATGTTGACTCGGATGCAATTGTAGAAACCGACACAGATAAAATGTCACGTGCCATTTGGGCTACAATGGGGAATCGACTTTTATGTTGGTTCCACCATTGAAGAATATCCATGTCACGTTTCTCCTTTATCGTCATAAAGGACGGGTCCACTTGTAGGTAGCGATTCAGCTCATTTGGTCCATGTATGTACGAGCTGGAGCTGCTACTTCTGCCATGTTCCATATACGTCCACTTGCTTGATCCTTGACGGAGGTCTGCATCAGGGTCCTGATCGTCTTTCCTGAACATTCCACTTCCACTTCCATTGTACATGTTCTCATATAAAGAAAAAATGCTATCCAGTTTTTGTTTAAAGTCAGTCAAATAATACGTATAATCATGTCCTAAATGTTGGCCTAACTTAGTAATTATACAGTTAACTATGTGTAATTTAAACCTAGGATCTACAACAAGGCCTAATCCATATAAGAATGGAATATCTAACCAATATTTCTCATATTTTTCTTCCATCTTTAAAACAATTTCCCTTAAAACGTTATTATATCTATATTTAGCAAAAGTTTTAGCAATTTGAAGTAAAATATCTAACACTAAATTACTAGTCGGATAATAAATACCACTTAATGTATTAGTAGAATCATAAAAATTTTTAAGAAATGAATAAAAAAGTTCACAAACCGCCCAATCATCATAGCTGATAACTTCCTCTGGATAGTGCTTTCGGTTGACGAAATCTGTAATTTGTTTTGCATTTGGCAAAGTTTTTTCCAACATCAAGTAGGTGGAGTTCCAACGGATAGGCATGTCCATACATAACTTCAAAGGCCGAACCGATGGGTCCTCTTGCTTACAATATTTGACGTATTCTTGCCATCTTTTATTGCTACCGCTGACGATAAATTCGATAGCTGCGCGCACCCTCACCATCTTCGAATGTATAGCATCTAAACCTGCTTTAACTATCAAATTGATGATATGGCAAGCACATCTTTGGTGAAAAAATTTGTCTTCACCACGCGGATCCAATCTCTTTCAAATAAAGAGATTGTCACGGTGTTAGCAGCTGCATTATTAAGCGTTAGCACTAAAACTTTATCAGTTAATAAATATTTTTGCAAAACTTCAAGAATTGTAAAATAAATAGTTTCAGCACTATGTTTTTCATATAATGGTTTAAAAACCATCAATTTTTTTTGTAAACCCCAATTATGATATAAGAAATGTACTGTGACAGTTAAAAAATCGATTTTTAATCTACAAGCCCATATGTCTGATATAAGTGCAATGGATATATTCCTAAAATTTTGAAATTCATTTTTAAGTTTATTATTTATTTTGTTATAAAGTTTTAGTATATTTCTTCTAATTGTACTTCTACTAACAGGGGTATATGCTGGACAAAATGCAGTTTTAATCATGTGAATAAAATAATGATTTTCAGATAAACAAATGGGAGAGTCCGTAGCAACTATGAATCTTGTTATTTCCTCTCGTGCAACATCTGCATTGTATTGCCATGTTAAGAGAGTTGAGGATTGTGGATTAAAATTAAGTTGAGTTTGAATTTGTTTACCTGATCCGGTTGAAGATGTACCAGGCAACTGCATTATTTGGGGGTGCTTCTTCTCCACGTGTCGTCGCATCGTCGAAGTCATCTTCTCAACGCCAATAATGGTTCCACAGAAATTACATATCTCACACGATTCTTCCCCCTCCCCATTTGTCTTTAGCCTTTTTGATTTGGTGAAGTGTCGCCATACATCGGACACGATCCTCTTTGACGGTCGCAGGGGGGGGTGTTGGGCTATGCCCGTGCCTGTTGACTCGCAGCCCGCATGTGTTTGGCTATACCTCGTCCCGATCGAATGTGGTTGTGGAATTGGAGTTGCTGCCTCTGGAGGAAATGGTGAAAATGGATTGAACCCTTCCATTTCTTCGGTGGATGGAACGTAAAACTCATTTGGGGACGATCCTCTGAATGCATCATTTCGAGAATCCATTATGAATTTATGATAAAATAATAAATAATTAAAATGAAAAGAAATTAAACAACAATATGAATAAGAGATGATATTGAAAAATCGAAAAAATTGAATAATATAAATAAATAAATAAATAATATGAATAAATTATAAATATAAATTGAATGAGAATTTGATTGGAGATTTGGAGTAGAGAGATTGAGAGATTGAGTGGTGTGGAAAAAATAAAAGATTTTAGGGTTATTTATAGTGTAATTGGGGGGGGGGGGGGGGGGGGGGGGGGGGGGGGGGGGGGGGGGGGGGGGGGGGGGGGTTGTGAAATGAAAAAAAAAAAACCTTCCCCCCACCCAAAAAAAAAATGACTGTTGGCTGCTGCCAACGGTTATAAAGAAAGTAAAACTTTTTAAATTTTGTAAAATTTTATCCTATAATTTATGTTTATTTTAAATTTTATAGGGGGTTTTAGTAATTGTACAAAGGACTAAAACGAAAAAGTTTAAAAAAATTTGGGCCCAGGCCCGGGCCTTGAAGGAGGGCTTAATGAAGGGATCGGGTCCTCCTCCTTAGGCTTGGTCCCGTTTTGGGACCAGGGCTCCTAGGACCAGGTTTTTGGGCTGGGCTTTTGGTCCCAGTCCCAAATGCCCACCTCTATCGATATCAAAAGGAAAGTGAACTAGGATCTTCTTAGTTAGTCAAAACTTCAAAAGGTGTGTTTGGTTAAGAGAATATTGTATTATTGAGAATATTATATTTATAGAATAATAGATTACTTTGAAGATTACTAGGAATGTTTAGGAAAATGTGTTTAGTTGGTTGGAATAAAATGGTGAGTATGTTATATAATTTACTAAATTACCCTCCTTTTTAAATTTAATATGATATGATTTTTTAAATAATTTTTTTAACTTCCTATATTTGAAATTTTGCTAAAAACACCCTAGTAACCCAAAAAGTTTAAAACTTAAAAAAAAAAAAACAGCCCCACCCACCCCAAGCTACTACCGACTGCATGCCACCATTGGCGATGGCTGAGGCAGTGGCCATAACGGTGCACAACCGGCCAGATCTGGCCAATCGTATGCCATAAGTCCATTTCAGCCATGTCCATGATGGATCTGGCCAGAAATGGCCAAAACTAGCCGTCATTAACACTCAAAATTGGTTGTCGTTAACAGCCAGTGCTCTTGCCGTTGATTCT